GGCATTCCACCTGAAAGGAGAAGTGGCGTGTTAGGACGAGTTCCGCGAACGCTGGCTTTTGCTTCAGTGCCAATGACATTGAGCCGCAGTGCTGAAGCTGGCGCGCTCTTCTCACAGCACCAGCGTGGCAGCGACACCGGGAGGCAGGGCTTGCGGACAAAGGTGGAGGCTTGCTAATCGAGCGGATTTCTTGCGCCTTTGTCGCGCAACTTAAAGCCGCAAAGTGGGGACATCATTACGCTTGTCCTCTCTACCACTATCGGGATGGAATAGGTGAGCGTGCGTAGTGTCGGGCTGTGTATTTGGTAGACAGAGAATGCTTGGCCATCCTAAAAGGACTGGTCAACACTATTTGCTCAATAATTTTATGCTTATCATGAAGGGATTCATTTCGTTCAAAAGGTTGCAGGAGTCAATAAATGTTCTGCATCGCCGTGTTACTGGTTGTGGCTTTCGTATAGGGAAGGACGAGATATTTACCTCACTTGTAGCTGCGCGAAAGTTCGTCGAAGATCGGAAACTTCGGCCGATGCTTATGCTTGCTAAGGAAGCGTTGGAAGATTTCGAAGGTCACTATAGATAACTGTTGGCGAACACTTTTATGATGTTGCTTCACCAGTGACATGCTGGCTCTTGGTCATGATTTCAGGCGTAAATGTAACTAATCCAAATGCTGTGGTCATTGGGTTGGCGCCATCAGAATTTCATTTTGAAAGGCTCAACGAAGCATTCAAGCTCGTGTTAAATGGTACGTTTCTTTTGAAGTAGTGTTGCCCTTTCCTCATGTGTTCACGTCATGGTTTTATCCAGCCGATGGTGGGTTTACTACGTGGCTAGTAAGCCTATGATTGTGCCAGTTAACCAGAGAGGTAAACAATCACGGTAAGGCTGTCTACTACCGCGTCCTCACGCTCCTTGTAGCGGCTGCCACTCATGACTCAACCCAATCAATTATAGTTACCATCCAAGCCTCGCCGTTCTTCATTACATGTTGTGAAATTATTCGGCGCAATGTGGCTCGAGGGGGCCAGTCGCCGCGCGCGATCTCTGCTCGTCCGCGCCCTGTAGTACTAAGCCTAGGAGTGGGCAGGAACTTTGGGAAGATGAAAATTGCTATGATCCTGGAGTTCCTCCTCCCCTGCCCGAGGCTTAGTCCCGATTTAGCGAAGAGGAAATGCTTACACAGAAAAACGCAGAGATCGCGCGCGGCGACTGGCCCCCCTCGAGCCACATTGCGCCAATTATTCTAATTGATATGTGGCGTGGGTCGGTTTAAGTGAACTTCTCGGTTTCCTATTTCCTATTTCTTTCAAATTTATTTCGACAACCACTCAATGTTTTGGAACATCACAGGAGCGCAGCTGGTCGCCATTCATAAGGGAAGGTACTACAAACGAGCTGACGGTTTGGCACTCGGTCCTGGCCCATTTGTAGCTGCACTGGAATATGCCACTGGCGCTAAGGTTCGTTTTTTTGTTGTTGCAGAAATTTTTTTGCGATGTTTTGAATTCCGTTCAAAGTTATGGAACCTTCTAGAAACTCCCATGATCGGGGTTATGTAGAGAGAACCCTCAAGACTACATTGACCCACTTGTATTTTCCCAGTCTCTACGCTTGTGATGAAACGGGCCATTTCATGAGCGCTTTATTGACGAGTTTCTCCTCGATTCTAGCGCGAGAGGGGCCATGGTGCTAACCAACACCATAAGGAACTCTGCGTCACCACCATCGTTTTCGCTCGCTTCAAATGGGCGTCTTTTCTCTGAACGAAGACCCCCACGCGACGGGCGAAGTCAACACCGATGCCCTCTTCGACGTGGTGGATGCCGATCTCGCCAGTTGATGTCTATCGGATGGAGCATCTCGGGTGTGACTTCATCACAATCGCCTAGTTGCTACATGTTCTCTGGCGGAACCCTGTGTGAGTTCCTCACCAGTTATCACCGAATCGGCTACAGCTGTGTGTCGACAAGTGCATAATTTCTCTCGGCTTCTACTCGAAAAAGATCCACTTGGACAACTTGATTACTAGGGAGAGAACTTCGTGCTCTACGTGAATCACAACAGGAAGGGCCACTGGCACCAGGAAACAGAGCTGCTCACACGTGGAAGTGCAGACACGTTGAATGTTCGCTGAGTATTTATCGTAGTTAGATATGGTAGCGGTGATGGTGAAAGGTGAAGAGATAAAGATTCATAAAAAATGTTGCAGCAATTCTCCTACGATCTCATACCACAAACACAAGCAATCATTTCCCAAGTAGAGATTCAATTCGTTCGGACTGATTGTACATAGTCGTGGCATAAAGAATGATGGAGCCATGCAATATTTTGCGTTTTAGCTTATTTTAGCCTTGTGTCCACTATCTTGCCTAAAATTCTTATTGTTAGCTGATAATCT